TTTAAATGTGAGAAGTGCCTTAGGCCTGCTTCCAGAGGCAGCAGGCAGCCATCGCGGCCACGAGATCGGCTTCTGGGGAAGTCTGGCTCTGAGGGCAGAGGGGTCGGGCCCGCCGTGGCAGCGGACACCGTGCGTGTCATCCAATGCTAGGTGCCACCTCCGTGGCCTTCCCCAAGACCTGGGGACCAGACCAAGCCATGTTCAGTGTGGCCTGACCCAGCTGGGCGGGAGAGGGGCTGGGCCAGCAGCTGGGGGCTGTGTAACCACTGATGGGCTCAACTCTCCTGCACAGGGTCCTCCCGGGCCACAGGGTCCTCCCGGGCCTCCAGGGATCCCCGGAGCCAAGGTCAGTACCATGCGTCTACAAGCGCCCCCAAGCCCTAGTCTCCAGGGCCCACCGCCCCCCTCTGCTATGTGGCCCTGCACTTCCCTCCCGGTGTCCCCCCTGGCTTCTAGGGGCTCCTTCCTAAACACCTGGGTGCCTCCTCCCGGTGTGGTCCTGGCTGTCCGGGGAGGTGTCCCCAGCCAGCGTGTGGCCAATCCCTGCACACACTCCGCCCACTTGTCCCCAAGACAGTGAGAACAGCAGGCACGGCCGCTGCACTGCCCCCCCTGGACCCTGCAGCCTGCATTGGGCCACCTGCCCCCTGAGCCTCGGCGTCCAGATCCAGCTTCACAGCCCTGGACCACAGCAGGGGGCCCACGAGGTGGTGGGTGTCTTCCTGGGCTAGCTGCAGGACCCAGAGACAGGGTGCATGGTCAGGGAGACAGCTGGTCTCATCCGCTGGGCTGCACACCCCTCTCGGGGTTTAACTGAGCAAGGCCTAACTGCCGTTTCCTCCCTTCCCCTTCCAGGGAGAGCTCGGATTGCCTGGCGCCCCTGGAATCGATGGCGAGAAGGTCTCTGGGCCCTTAGTTTCCTTGGCGAGCCCAGTGTCTGGTGTCAGGCTCTGTGTGTGCACACGTGCATATGTGGCGTGCGTGTCTGTGCACGCGTGTGCGCGCATGCGTACAGTTGGAGAGAGGCCACTGGACACACTGGCTGACACAAGGGCTCTGAGCCGGGCTGGCTGTGTATAAGCCTGGCCTGGCCCAGGCCTGGGCGACGGGCCCGTCCTGGCGGCCGGCGCAGCACCTCTGAAGCGGGTAGGGTGGTGACGGGGTCGGTGACAGCTCTGCATATGCGGGGTCTCCGGAAAGTGCACGGCAGATACGCGTGGTGAGAAAGCTAAGCGTGGACTTCAACTTTCTTTGCACCCAAATAAGGTCATGCCTTAACCTCCGAAGCCCCCCCATAGGTAAAGCTCCCCGAACAGCGCTTGGCACACAATAGCAGGGACCTGCCGGCGCC